CCCCAAAACCCCAAAACCCCAAAACCCCAGTAATCCAATAAATCTGTATATAGAGTATAATTTTAAACTAATGATAGATAGATATTTAATAATATTAGATTATAAAAATGGATCCAAAATAGAAAATTGAAGAAGAACACATTAAGACTCTTGACTTTGATAGTAGATGTGTGAGATCAGGCTCTATTCCAACCGATCATTCTGGGTCAGTTGTAGTGCCTATAGATTTATCTACTCTTTGGAATAAAGTTGACATGAGACTTCCTAATAATGGCAGACATTTTGTTTATTCAAGGGTTGGCCACCCTGTTAGATAGGCTTTGGAACTATAGCTGGAATCAATAACCCAAACAGAGAAATCAGTAGCTACAGTTAATATTCATGGAATATATTATGCCATTTCAATGCTTTAGAAAAAGGAAGATGAAACAATAGTTTTGAGTTAGAGATCTCATTTCAAAAATTTAATGAATGAAGTATTTTTGGGCTAGAATATGGGCCTTAAGCTTACATTTTTAGATTAGATTCATGATTTACCAAGCAAATTAACATAAAATACAAAGTTAGTAATTATTGAAAAGACTTAAATAATTTAAAAAGCTGATGTCACAGGCACTATGTAATTGGCATAGTATGATAAATTATATAAGGAGCTAAAATCAAAAGGTATTATGTTGGCGATAGACATATCACTTAATATGAATGAATTCAAGAAGCAAAGAAATCTAAAAAATTTTGATATGCTAGTGGCTGACTTGAGATATTTCAATGGCGCTGATGGGGTAGTCACGGGTGCTATGATGACTAATGATGAAAATATATATTCACTTATAAGGAGAAACGTAGATTAACTTGGAGTATTAGTCCAACCAATGACTGGGTTTTTAACAATGAGAGGACTGAAGACACTCTCAGTTAGATTGGATGAGTAAATTAGCAATGCAGAGTAAATAGGAAAACATTTCTTGAAGAAATTGAATATTTCATTTGACAGGAATGATAACATCATTCACGTGCCAATAGAGCTAGATCCAAATCACTTGGTAAAGATGAAGGTAATATAGAGAAGTCCAAGTAATAGCAACAAATCTCATATTGAGATCGACAAAGAGTTTATTCTTATTCATGTGGGAATTGAGGATTGGGAATTGATTGGTAGCGATATTTGGGAGCTTTTGGGAAGTTTTAAAGGAAATTTATGAACAAATGATGAAGAAATAATTTCAATTTATCAACAAAAATACTTAATATGATCAATGATTTTTATATCAACTTTATTATCTGTAATTAGACATTATGGGGTTTTGGGGTTTTGGGG